GTATGTACAGTAGACTTGACTGTGAGTGACTGAATTTAGATGTACTGTGTGTCTACAGTAAACATTACAGCGTGTCGTACATTTGATTGGTTGAACTATGCAGTGACTAGGTGTCACGTGAGTCACGTGAGGTGCACCTACCACCACCATGTCCTACATTTGTACAGCTGTCCATGAGATCAAGAGTACATAAACACGAGAGAGTGTAAAGCTGTGTTCACAACTGGCGCGTGGACGCGGTACGCTTGCGGTTCATGCGCGCCCAAACGCGCGCTCAGCCTTTCACCAAAAAGGTTGGGGGGGGGGTAGGGGGTTCGAGCCAAAATCACAACTCGACCGACACTGTACATTGTACTTGTACATGCATGCGATTATCGTCGTCCAGCATAGCAAGCTGCGTTCGTTTCAGAGTGGGGGGAGGGGTCCGAGTACGAAATAACGATATTGTCTCCATGGTCATAGCCAGCCTGAGATTGAACGGGGGGGGGGGGGGGGGGGGGGGCTGGGTGAACTATTAGGGACCATTAGCAAGCCGTGAAACGTCAACGGGAACGAGTTCATCGTAACGCACGTGAAACACGGCGTGATTGAGGATTAGCTTCTCGCGTTCACAACCTGTCTATGCGAGTCGGCTGCTTTCCAGTTTCAAACAGTTTTCTGATATTTTTACTGGCAATTATTTTTGCGAACTTTTCCTTGAGAACACTTCTCAGCCTGACTGACTTTTACCCGAATGAACGTGAAAGAAACCCCATGAAAGCCACATCGCCGATGGATGGGTGCAGCAAAGGGTTGTGTTCACGAGGTCCATGAATGGATGAGACATTTTCGCAATTTGACGAAAATCGCAAAGACCAAAAGAAGCGCGATTTACGGTGCTATTCTCCGCTTCATGGTTGAATTCGCACGTACTTGACTAAAACCCACTTGTTCCGGTCATGGCGAGTAGACCACTCCGAACTCGCCAAACACGAGTATGTTTCGCGTGGTCAGGACGGGACTCTAACCCAGCTCCCCCTTCGCGTTGCAGTTTCACGGGTTGCTAATGGTCCCTATGACATGGCATTGGCGGGTTTACGGGGGGGGGGGGGGGGGGGGGGGGGGGCACGCTCGCACCCCCCCCCCCCTCAAAAAATTTCGACCTGGGTTTGAAAAAACACCAGGCTGCTACATGCACCATGTGCACAGGCGGTAGACTCTATGCGGTGGGAAGCAGCGTCCAAAACTGGTTGCACGGACCGTCGGTGTGTGAGCGGCATTGATTGCACTGTGAAAGAAATGATCGACTCTGTACGAGCTCTATACTTTTGTACAGATTCCAGGACACGCTCGATGCGTCTTGAGAAAGGCGTGCAGTGATGTGCTGAACGCAGCGCTGCCCAAGTGGGACAAAAACAAAGCTTGTGATCGTCAAGCGCCTCTTTTCGCAACGGTGTACAACGTTGTTTTGAGGATGATCCCCTCCAGAATCGCGAATTGGTTGACTTGAAGACTTTTCTGCGAAGTCTCAGCGACATCCATGGACCAAAGAAGACAAGCTCTGGCCAGCAGAGCCTTGATGGATTTTTGCAAAGCGTTCTTGCGACGGTGCAATTCCTGTTCCAACAGGAAACAGTGGGAGTGATCAAGTCGTTGCCAGTACAGTTCGGAACGAACTGACATTCCACCCGACGCGGAGGTACCACCAGTACCGGTTGTCGGTGAGCAGCCAAAACATGATGAAGAACAGCATGATATGCTCCAATAAAAATTGGGCAAGGATGTACTGTACAAGTAACATGACTGATGATTGTACAATGTACAGTAGGTATCGGTTATAGCGTGGGTGTTTGAAAAACGACTTTCTTTTCTTATTTGCAATATTTCTTACTCGCGATAAGTCAAGTGTGACACATCAGATACATGTGCGCAGATACAGGATGGTCATCATACATACAACGTATCTCTGCTGTGCATGCGGGTGTTCATAGTCTCATACGCTTGCCATGTGGCTATGCAGCATGAGATACATGACAAGAACAGTTGAACCTGGAGCACTACAATGCAATGCGAGTCGGAGCAGAACTGCATTGGACAGATGTTATTACTACACTCATCTACAGGCGATACACTTTGTACCAATCTGGTATGTTTTGCTACACAAAGTCCATTCTTAAGCTGTGTTCACAACTGGCGCGTGTACGCGTGAAACCACGTGTTTGTGCGTATTTTGCTGGCTTTTGGGGCGCCATGCGTACAGAAACGCGTCGGAATGGAACTTCCAACATGTTGGAATTTTCAGCGCGTATCAGGCGCGTACCAGCGTACATGCCAGTCAATTGACTAGCGGGGTCAAAAAATTAGTACTCGAAGGTGTCGCACGCGCTAAATACGACTCGGATTGCTGTTTTTTGTGAAAGCCTGAGCGCGCGTTTGGGCACGCATGAACCGCAAGCGTACCGCGTACACGCGCCAGTTGTGAACACAGCTTTAGGACCGATATATTCTTAAGTGCGATAACATTGCTTGTCTTTCCTCCGCGTCATTAAAATTGTCACTGCGCACATCGCAATGTTTGTGACTTGGCTCGTCTTAGTCAGACTGTCGGAATCGCTGTTTTCTGTGTTCGAGCATTAATGCAACCCTTCCTGCGCAATCTCTACTTGTTACTGAAGCCGTGGTGGTCTCGCACTCTGTCGGAGCTCTCTTCCGCACCAAGCAAATTCATCGTGCTCCGCACTCTTCCGCCCCAGAGCGCATATCGTTTTCTGGAGTTCGTGCCGTCCCATATCGTTCGCGTGGGTATTTATCAAGACTGCAAGCTCGGGTATAAGAATCCTGGTATCTCTCCTGAATACGAAATGCTGAAGTTGACGATGGCAAGAACAAAGTGTTCTCAAATTCCTAAAATGCGCTACTTGTGTCGCATGTTGCTACGAAGGTAGCAGGTCTGAAAACACCAACAAAATTAGCGAAGCGCTTGCCAAGGAAAGAAGTTGCGGAACTACTTACCCTATCCCGCTGGAAGGTCGTTACAGTGTACTTGAAAAATGCTAGCTTGCCTTCATTGCCTGCCACCTGGAGGCATGGATCGCTTGAAAACGAAGTTTCTTGACCTGAATTTGAACGCACGTCGTGTTCAGCACATTGTTGAGTGCTGAAGGGCCTGCCCCAAACTCTGATGAAGACGTCGACCTTAGCTACAAGTGCAGCGAAGCGGGAGGCCACAAACTAAAGCTTGGTCCGTCGACAATGCCCTGCCTCAATTTCTAACTGATTTCTTTGCCCTTCGAGTGGACAAAATAAATTCGAAAAATCGCTCTGGGAAGCGGCAATTTTACTGATGCGGAGGAAGTAAGAATAAATGTTCACTTGAAACCCATGTTATGATTATGAAAATATGAGAGGTCATTCTTGTAAGTAGTATATTCTTTTACACGACCACGCTATAACCGATACGCACTGTAGTAACTGAGCATGAGATACTTTAATCTGTATAGTGTAGGTCTGGAAGAAATACCTGGCATGTAATCATTTTGTAATGTTGGATAGCTAGGTGCGTGACATACATCATTACAGTCATGTGCACCATGTCATCTCCCCCGGCCGCGACCCTCCTCAGCCAAATCCTCGACACGCCACTGCATGGTTGTGGATATATGGGGGGGGGGGGGGGGGGGGAGGATGGGGATGAATGCAGCACTCGACCTAAACTATAATTATCCTATTCTGTGCCCCAAGCGCTAAATTTGGTGCCGGCCGGCTTTTTAGGGTATCACTGCATTTGATCAACCAGATGTCAAGTGTATGTGGTAATTGGGACCATTTGCAAGCTGTGAAACGGCAAGACGAATAAGGAAACTGTGTTAGAATCCCATCCTCACCACCCGAAGCACACTGGTGTTTGATGAGTTCGGAGGGGTCTACTCGTCATGACCACAACGAGTGGTTTTTTTTTTAATCCAGTGCGTGCGATTTCAACAAGGATACGGAGAATGCACAGTAAATTGCGCCTCCTTTTGTGACTTTTCTCAAATTTCCAAATGTTTCACGCACTCCTGTTGGAATAAAGTATGATGGTGAATATACGGTGTACGAAGGCAAGGCACTTTCTCACTAGACAAGTGACGTTTGCTAATACTTGGTCCGCCAAGTTGCAATTGGCGCTTATCTTCGCACTTGATTTTTCGGTGTTCTGCCTGTGTCATACCGCATGGAACCACCGATTCACCATCCAAACATAACCACAGACCCTTGCATCCGACAACATGGCAGCACTAACCACCACAGAAGTTGTGATCGGTTCGTTTGAATCTTTTTGACTGGAGCTGCCACCGACGTACACTTCCGTCACCGCAATAAAAGGCTGCAACCTCCGCTCCAGTCCGTAAAAAGCTAAAAAAGCGCATCGCTAACTTGAATTTGAGTACTCGCACTGTACAGCGCCTTGTGAAGAGTTATCACCAGCAAATCACCGACGAAGAAACTACAGATCATATCGGCATCTCCAGAATGCGAGATTAATCCGGCAAACACACTCTGAAGCTCACAGATGACCTGGCAAAGGAGCTGATCAAAATAAACACCAACTCCTGAGGGAAACTCTCGTATAAACGACTTGCAGGGATCTCGCAGAAAAGAGCTACGCCTGCTCCAGAGTTAGTGCGACACTGGTGCAAGACTTTACGTGCAGTACGCACAGGTGTTACATCAAGCAGAAGCTATCACTGCAGTACAAGCACCAGCGAGGGCAAACGAACGACCACCGATGCCAATAACTCACACAACTGCCTGGCATTAGGCGTCACACCACACGCATACAATATGATGCCCGCTTGCACCCAAAAAAGTAATAAACCTAGAAGGCATGGCACCCCCACTACGGAAGGTGTATTTGTACCCTCAGCATTATACCTATGCATAATCATATGATGCCGCCGCTACCTCATCAATTGCTCTACACGGTCCCAGTGTCTGCTCTAGGATGGTAGGACAGCCGGGTACACGTGTACCTGGCGCAA